AGTGACTTGTGCAAGCTTTTTGACTGTGGCTTCAAAATGTTTCTCAAGTCACCGACCTAGATGTGTGTGTAACTTTATAAGCACGCTTTAGGCAACATATCTAAATCCACTCCTCCCCTACTTTTCTATCAGTACTCCGGTTCAAGTTCCAAACTTTTTCTCGATCGGTAGACAAAATGATCCCGTACTTTGTCATCACCATCAATTTTCCGCTGCTCTTCATGGCATCACAAACCTTGCTGCCACTCACATCTGCCAAGCCTATGGGTCCAGAAACTAATAGGCTCGCTCTGCTGGCTTTGAAGGACAAGCTCACCAATAGCAATCCTCAAGTTCTGCCTTCATGGAACCAGTCTCACCACTTCTGTAAATGGGATGGTGTTTTCTGCAATACTCCCCACGTGATAGTCTCTGCACTGTTGTTAACAGGTCAGAGTTTGGATGGGAGTCTTGCGCCAGCAATAGGTAATCTAACCTTCCTTAAACTACTTAATGTTTCTGACACCGGATTGCATGGGGAGATCCCCAGAGAAATTGGCCGTCTCAAACGGTTGCAAATTCTCTTCCTAAGACATGATAACTTCCAGGGAGAGATCCCTATTGAGCTTTCTAACTGTTCAAATCTGCAAGTTATTAACTTGAACTTCAATAACTTGACTGGTAAAGTTCCCCCTGGTTAGGTTCAATGAGATTGCTTAACTCTTTGTTCCTTTCTGCCAATAACTTTTTTGGTAGTATTCCACACTCCTTGGGAAATCTTTCTTCATTGAGGGAGTTGGGTCTTCCAAAAAATAATCTGGAAGGAAGTATACCTCAAACTCTTGGCCGGTTGTCAAGTTTGAACGCTCTTCTTCTAGACATAAATAATTTGTCTGGTACAATACCTTCTTCACTCTATAATCTTTCCAATATCGAGGACTTCGATTTGGGAGATAACCACTTGTCTGGAGCTATTCCATCAAATATAGACCTTTCTTTCCCTAATGTTCAAATTTTTTGGGTTGGAAACAACTCTTTAACTGGAACTATTCCTCCCTCATTTGCCAATCTCTCTCAATTGCAAATGGTAGATATAATTGCAAATCGTCTTAGTGGGCCATTTCCAAACTCTTTGGGAAGACTGCAAAATCTTCTTGAATTGAACATTGACTTCAATATATTGGGGAATGGAAGCAATGGTGATTTGGATTTCCTTTCTTCATTAACCAACTGTAGCCAATTGCATAAATTGAGCCTACAAGGAAATGGATTTGGTGGTGTATTGCCAAAGTCAATTGGAAACTTCACCTCACCATTGGATACACTTCTTATGGGACACAATAAGATCTCTGGAACCATACCTGAAGAGATTGGGAAACTATCTGACTTAACATTTCTCGATATGGGACATAACCTTCTTCGTGGTGAAATTCCAGATTCAATTGGAAAATTGAAAAATCTTGGAAGAATGTTCCTCCAAATAAACAAATTATCTGGAAATATTCCTACCTTTCTTGGCAATCTTACCAAGTTGTTCGATCTGTATTTAAACAACAACAATTTTGAGGGAAGTATTCCCCCTGCCCTCAAACGTTGCAAGAGTATGCAGCATTTGTATCTTTCCGCAAATAACTTGGGTGGTAATATACCCACTGGTACATTTGGTCAGCTAGAAGATTTAATAGTTCTGAACCTGTCTTACAATTCCTTGATTGGTCCCCTTCCATCAGAGTTTGGTAAGCTGAAGCATTTAGTGGAACTATATGTTTTTGAAAACAAAATTTCTGGTGATATTCCAATTGCACTAGGCGAATGTTCTGAGTTATCAAAGCTTTATTTGAATGGAAACTTTTTCCAAGGAAGCATTCCCTCATCTTTTGGTTTGCTAAAATCTCTTGAAATCTTGGATCTTTCGAGAAATAATTTGTCAGGCACAATTCCCAATGGATTAAAAAAGCTTCCATTTTTGAAGGCCTTGAACCTCTCTTTCAACCATCTTCACGGGGAGGTTCCAAAAGGAGGAGTGTTTGATCACATCACTGCTATCTCACTCACAGGAAATGAGGATCTCTGTGGTGGGGTACCTGAATTGAAGCTGCCTGCATGTTCAAATAAGCCTAAGAAGCCTTTTAAAACCATCATCATCCTCATCATTGTGATAAGCAGTGCTTTCATTTGTTTTGTAGTTTCCATCATTATTTATTGGAGGAGAAAGCCAAACGTGTTATCTCTTTCCTCATCTTCTATGCAGAATGGGCTTTTAAGGGTTTCCTATGGAGAGCTACATGATGCTACCAATGGGTTTTCTTCGTCTAACTTGGTGGGCTCTGGAAGCTTTGGTTCTGTGTACAGAGGAACTCTTCACCATTATGAGAAACCTATTGTTGTAAAGGTGCTAAATCTTCAGACACACGGGGCGATGAAAAGTTTCATCAATGAATGCAAAACTCTAAGTAAAGTCCGCCACCGAAGCCTTCTAAAGATCCTATCTTGTTGTTCCAGCATTGATTACAAGGGAGTCGATTTTATGGCCCTGGTTTTTGAGTTTATGCCAAATGGGAGTTTGGAGAAGCGGTTGTCAATGGATGAAAATGGTGAGTCAAGAAATCCACTTCAAAAATTTGCACAAAGATTAGACATAGCTATTGATGTAGCTCATGCCTTGGATTATCTTCACCATGATTGTGAGGTAGCTATTGTTCATTGTGACATCAAGCCAAGTAATGTTCTTCTCGATGATGAAATGGTTGCTCACTTAGGAGACTTTGGGTTAGCTAAGCTCCTTCGTGAGGTTACAAGCTACTCTGGTGGAGATCAAACTACTTCTTCAGCAATTAAAGGAACCATTGGTTATATTCCTCCAGGTACATTACTTTTTGTCTTGTTAATGTCATTTTTACATAACCACTTTGTAAAATAGTAAGTAGAATTCAAAGTTGAAGCTTGATCAAAAAGCTATCGCAAAAGGATTCAATCTTGCCCAACAATAATTTTGAACATCCAACATGCATTTACGTTGTTTAAATAATTGATTCTTGTACAGAGTATGAAGCAGGTGGGCCTGTGACGCCACAAGGGGATATCTTTAGTTATGGCGTTCTATTGCTAGAGATGCTCACTGGAAAAAAGCCAACAGACAGCATGTTTGGAGAAGATCTAAGCCTACACAAGTTCTGTAAGTTGGCACTGCCAGAAGAGTCATTGAGATAGTGGACTCAAGTTTGCTGAGACCATTTGAACAAGACCACGTGAAAGTGATGAAGAAGCCAAACGTGGAACTTGAAATTCGAGAGTCTTTGATCAGCTTTGGCAGGATTGGAGTGGCATGTTCAGTAGATTTGCCTGGTGAACGGATGGGGATAAAAGATGCTCTGGCGGAGTTGCTTGCGATTAAAAAGAGGTTGCCCCCGACTGGTGGGAAAATTTCTATGCATCATGGCTTTTGAAAGTGAATGTACCTATATTTCGTTCCGTGTCTAGAACTCAGAAAAACTTGGTTTATCACTTGGATATGTTAATTGTAGTTTTGTTTTTGTCAAAAAGAGGGTTACATTTTGCATTGGGTTTGTGGAGATTTTTATATTATTTATGTACACTGATGATGGTCAATTAGTGGCAAAACTGAGGCTGTTATGTGCCAGAAAAAAAAAAAAAAAACATTCATAATCTCCATTTTTCTTCCAGCCAAACATCTCTCATAGTTACTATCCCAAGTCTCAACCAAAATGGCCATCGTCGTGGTTGAATGGTTTTGGTGGACTACCGAAAAAGTGGCCCCAAGATCTCCCAAGGAGCAAACTTGCAATTGCATCTTTCACACAAAATGACCAGTCGGCAACAAGGCCAGCACTTGTGTGTCCTATCAGTACCTAACGGTATTTCTGAGTTCGCAGACTTCGTTTTCGCCTTTCGGCCTATCACTTCACGAGTTAACGGGCAAGGCCCAGTAAAGGCAGGGCTGAATCGGAGGAACTGTTTAGCACAAGCCCAGGCTCAAAACATTCACCAAACATTATAATCTTTTACTTATTATAATTATAGTAAAACATAATCATATTAATGTTAACCTTTAGCATGAAATAGTAATTCTCTCTTCAATACAACAGTTAAAACAATAGAATACTTTTATGTTTGAAAGAGATGCATTATGTTAAAAAAATCATTAATAAAAATAATTTTTTTAAAAAAACGTATAATTGTTAAAATAAAAGTAATAAATTTAATCAAATCACAAAAAAAAAATGATGCACTTACTAAGTTTTATTTGTGTTGTTGTTACCAAAATAATGAATACTCTTTATATTCAAAATTATGAAAAGAATTTCACAAAAGTCTTATTTAAAAATACAAAGCATTTTAGTATTAAATGAAATTTTTTTCAAAAATACCCTTAATGAATATTTGAAATTAAAAAAAATTTATTTATTTGTGATTCACACCATTAAATAAAAATAACCAAAATAATTTTTTACTTTCCATAAGGTTTCATTTTAATCCCATAACTTTATAAAGTGTTTTTACTAATTTAATCCTAGCACTGTTAATTTCATTTCAATAAATTTTTACATTAAAATTTTAAATATTAATAAAATATTTTTAATTTTTTTAAAATAATAATAATTGATATAAAAAATAATCATTTAAAAATAAGGATATTAGGATTAAAAGATTAAAATAATAAATTATAAAATAAAAGAATCAAAATGAAACCTCATATAAAATTAGAAGATTAAAAATATATTTTAACCAATAAAAATAAATATATTTTTAATGATAACTGATTGTTTTCCTGAATGGTAAAAATTAGTTCTTGTAATTTTGAACGGAAAAAGTACGTTAATGAAAACAAATATCTTGACAACCAAAACAACCTACACCTGGAGGAGAAATCCGCAAGACTGCCAATTTTAATTTCGGCATTTTACCTGACACTCAAATCAACACCAGAATTACTTCTCCAGCGATGATGCTAACATATCAGGAGCAAATTACATCATAATATTTTTAGAAGGATCGTCTCATGGTTTTCCATAACGAGCTCAACCTTCATTTCATAAAGGACACAGACCTCAGCCTGCTTTAAAAAATGAGCACTAGCGTTGCAGCATAAAACGGAGCTACCTGATGTCAAAGATTCCTCGAAATACAAAAGGTTAAGGTTACATGATCATCACTTCCAATAAACTTTACAACAGAACAAGCATGGTTAGTTCCATATCCAACTCCAATATGCCAGGAACTCTGGATATGAGCCCGGTTCCTAATTTTGTTTCAGCCGAGACACGTCCAATGTGATAGCTGTTTACCTGCCTCGTACACTGGCAGGAGATTGACCGCCTCTCTCACTGCCAATATCATCATCTACTTCACTACTATCTAAGCAGAGTCCGTTGTTGTTTACACTCACTTCAGAACTAGCATTGCTGCTTGTGGCATGAGGAGAACCTGAAATGCTAATTGTCCGGCTTCGCTGGGACCCTGACCGCACGCTATACATAGATGATGCTGGAATATTTGTCATTAAGGGCCGCAAGTTTCCAGGAATGGTTCGCCTTATATCCTGCGTCCAAGGCAAAAACATGAGGAAAATTTATTTAAGATCATCATTCAACGCCATCATTCCAATTAAAATCAATAGTAGATTGATAAAATGCGTAAGATAAACAATAGTAGTTTATGAGCTGCATGTACCAAGTTTACCTTCAACTCACAGAAGAAAAAATAAAAATCCAGTAATAGAATACACAAAAGACCCATACCATATGCCTGATAGCCATGTCCAGGGATTTCTTCGACAGTGTCCTTCCAAAACCGGAGCTTTCAGGAGATGTAGATGACTTGCCTGAGATATTACTATGGGGAGAATTTTTGTCATCCATTCTTGGTGGCACTAATTTACGCATATTTATAACCCTCTCAACCATTTTAGTGCCAATTACTACGGGGCTGACATTGTCATTCACTTTGGAGTGCCCACGGCTAACTGCTGGCATAGAGCTTCCACTTGTATGAACCATACCATTGGAGGTACGCCCTCTTGAAGGAGAACATGATTGCCTCTTAGGTCTTCCACTAGGACCGGGCTCAACAGATGAGGACCGAGAAACAGGTGCTCCAGGCCTGCCCCTAGTAGCTGACAATGGCCTATCAGGTAACGTTGTCCTCAAATTGGGTGGAGCATCAAGAGAAAAACCAGGCATCTCAGATGGCTTCCAAGGTCTTGGTCTTGCTGTTGGTGAAGTGCCATGTGACGGTACTGATTGCTTTAATGCCGTTGAAACTGGTTGCCTGGATTTCACAGGAGTTGGCAGCCTCGATGTCACAGGAGTTGGCTGCCTTGATGTCATGGGAGCAGACCTGGAAATAGAAGTTGTCTTAACTGAAGGAGCAGCAGGTGCACTTGATGGTGTTGAGGGCCTGCGAGTTGGAGTTGATGCCCTTGATGTGGGCCTGGATGGAGGCAAGGTAGGCCTGGAAGTTGGTGTTGACGACCTAGCTGTAGACCTGGACAAAGGTGTAGACGATCTTGATGGAGTTGTGGATTTAGCTGCAGGGACTATGGTCTTGGAAGCAGAAACTGCAGCCTTCGTGGCAGACACTGTGGGCTTGGTAGCAGTTATAGTGCTTCTTGAAGGCACAGTGGTGCGAGAAGTAGGTGTTGAAGGTCTTGATGATTTTGAAGCTGAGGTCAATGTTGAGCGTCCAGTAGGAGTTGCAGGTCTTGATACTGGACCCCCTGATGATGAGGGCCTACGTGTGCCACTGCTTGAAGAGCTCAATCCAGGGGAGGCAGCCGGTTGTCTAGATGCTAAGTTGCTCCTTCCAGCAGGCTCTGGTGTTGGATTTGCCAACTATAGCCACAAGGAAGCAATTAACAAAAGAAAAACAATGACTTCCTAACTATAAACATAGAGATTCCAAATTCTGTAGTAATATGGCATATATTTAAATTTTACAATAAGGAGCATCACCTTCGTAACTAAGAATCAATAGTGATAAATTTACAAGATGACAACGGATCTTGACAGTTTCTTTTCATAAACAAACAATTTAAGTGAAGTCCAATCTGTAAAAATGTGATAGGATGATGATAAGGTGGTTTCATCATATCCATGGAAATCCTTGGATTGAGGAATGCCACATGTGAACTAGATATCCCTACTACCTAGGCAGGCATCAGCAACTAAAAAATGTGGAATCAGTATGGTTTCTACATGTCAAGTAAATCATCTATATCTTCTTTAAGTCAAGTTTATGCATACTCCCTGAGAATGATATTGCTTGCAGAAAAGATTGTTTCCTCAAAACCAAGAATTCATAATGAGTGTGACAATCCAACAGCTAAGAAAGAAGTAGGAATAGAAGAGAAGTGAGGAAATAGTAGATGAATTCAGACGTCGTTAACTGTCAAAGCTAACTCCACTATGTTACTCCACTATGTACAATGATATTTAATGACTCTGCTAGTCAGAGTTTTAATTAACTGACTTTCTTCTGTTACTAACACCAATTGACTAACTAAACTTTCTTCTGTCACTAACACCAACTTGACAACTAAATTCATATCTCCTCCATGATACACTCACAATCCTCTTGGCAACTTAAAACCAGGCACAAAAGTTGCAAATCTGCCAATCAACACAAGCAAAATTACAAGCTCTGAAATCTACAGTAAAAGTACTTACTCTTGATTTCAGTGCAGTGGGACGTGTGGTTGGAGGTCCAAGCTGACTCATGACAGTCTTTCGTGATTCCATCTCCAGAGAAGGAAAAAGAGGAGTCCCAGGAGGAGTTAGGAGCCTGAAATGATGAGCTTCACTCAGCACCATTTTGGAAAACAATAATTTACAGTTTTCATTAGTAAGAAACATAATTGCAACCATGTTCAGTTGCATGCACTGCAATTGGGCCCAGAAAAAGCACATGCTGCATTAACAAAAAACACGTCTAGTATTCATTAGATCATACACCTAGCAAGTCTGTGCCTGAAATTTATTTTCACCAATTTTATTCTCTATTTCTAGTCCACAAATTTCACTATATGTATGTATATAAGAAGAAGAACTCCTAAGTTATTTATCATTTTATCATAAGTAAAGAACAGAATGCTTGCCCACAGTCCTGTGTTTCTGACCATGATTATCAAATCCTATTGCATATGGTTAAAAGGACATGTATAACTTTTCATTATTCTGTATTTAAATGTTAAGGCCCATGATCCATGTAGAGATTCGTGGAAACTTCAATGAAAGCTGCTACAAACTGTAAAGTGTAAAACTCCTGAACAATGTAGATTCTAAAAGAAAGTTAAGTCATCAAAAGCTTCCTCATGAAGGAAGAAATCAAAAGAACATGTCCAGGATCAGAAATATCACAAAAGAACAGGTCTTAAAAACCATGGCTGGCATATCTAAGATGTTCATGATTTTTTTCTCATTAGATCATAAACATAGCACATCTGAGCTGAAATTTTTTATATCTAATTTTATAAAAAAGCTTAAAAAGAATTCTCAAGTTATTCATCATTTTTTTAATATAAGTTATTTATCATTTTATCAGAAGGGGAAAAAAACAGAATGCTTGCCTGCTAATGTATCAAATCCAGTGTTTCTATGATATTATTGAATTCTATTGCACATAGTTTCAGAAGATATCTATCACTTCTCATTATTTTGGATTTATATATCAGGACCATGATCCATTTTGAGAGGTTCTGTGGGGATTTCTATGAAAGTTGCTGCACTCAATAAAGCATATATCTTCCAGATGATTAGGATTCTAGAACAAGGCAAATTATTAAATGTTTACCCTGAAATAAAAAAAATCAAAAGAACAGTTCTAGAATTAGAAATATGCCATAAGACAAGTTATCCTACTAGAAATGTAAGCAGAGGCAGATAACATTAAAATTGACATTGCGACCAGTGAAACAATATGACATATCTGCGGAATTAATGAATGCTAACAATTAAAATGACTAGAAATTTAATGAAGAAATCCAAAACAGAAAACTGTCAAGCGGATTGTCAGCACAGCATGAAGGCTGAAAATTTGAGGAATGCATTTTTCATGCGTTAGACAACTACTTTCTTCAGTTACTCTAAGAAAACTATATTATTTGGAGCGCATCAAGTCTTTTAAAAAATGTACACTGTTAATGGCAGAATGTGAGTTTTTCACTAAAATGTATTCTTCATGAATACATCCCACAATCGTTCATCCATCAGAAAGGGAAAAGTCTCGATCCCAATTATTGCATTGTACTAAGAGTAATCAACAATAGCAAAATTGTGAAGAAAAAGACTAGATCGGTATCACATTACCAGTCATAGTCATTTTTATCATTTTCTGAATTGAGAAAATCATCAGCACCAGTTTTACGTGGAGGAGCTGGCGTAGTTGCTGCAATATTAAATATGGGTGAAGTACCCGGATTTGAGCCTGCAATATTAAAAGAGAGCGGATAACAAGGAGAAAATTATACAACACCGTAAATAATGTCAATACAAGAACAAGGATTTTGCAGTTCTTAAACTACAACAAAGGATAACAGTAAACTAACAAAAAACAGATTCAAGTACTGATCTCAGATAAAATAAAAGCTCTTGAACATATGTTCTATACCTATTGAATTTAGTGGGGCATCGAACTCCTCAGAGCTGTGAAGCAGAAGATCGCTACGTTCCTTCTCGCGCTTTTTCATCTCCAGGAATAGTGCAAGTTCCTCATCCTTCTCCTTCATCATCGAAGACCTTAATCCCCCCATTTGCTGCTGCCTCTGTTTTAAGGCCGCTTGCATTTGCGACTCCTGCGCCCTGAAACTACGATTCATCCTCCAAAAATCCAAACCCAACCAACCCAAGTAGGATTAATATTCAAGGATAGAATGAGGTGAACTATGGAAAGCGCAAGGCCCCCAACGGGGAGAACCCAAGTTCGCTTCTCGTTCACACCACCAAGTGTGGTTTTCTAAATCATATGCACTTTCATCACCCCCATCAACTCTTCGAAACCTAAACGAACACAATTAGATCTCAGAATCTGACTTCTACTATGCCGCGAATTTGAAGTTACCCTTAGCAAACAAATATTCTGCAGTTCTTCAGCATTGAGTTCAAATCAACATCCCGTACGAAACCTGAATCTTGTGCCAAGCTCAAATCTTTGTGGAAGAAAAAAATGCTCTCAACTCAAATAGAACAGCATTGCAACACTGAGCCAAAAATAGCTACAGGAGAAAGAGACGGAACCTCCGCAAAGACTCGGGCTCCACAAAGAACCCCATTGAACGTATCAAAGCTTGTGGCCGAGAAGGGTGTAAGAGGGAGAGATCGGAAGCGGAGAGGCTAACTGTGAAGGGAAAGTGGCAGTGAAAGGTAAATGAGAGATTCTTGAGGTGCGAAATGGGGAAGACGGAGGAAGAGACGCCGTACAGCTGGTGTTGTTTCTCTCACTTGAAGCTCACGCTACAAGCTTCGGCCTTTACATCGGTGGATAATCACGGTAATGCCCTCATTTTATATTCTCCTTTTTGAATTTCAAGATCGTGATTTTGCTGTCATGCCCCCCAAGGTTTGCTTAATTCCTTGTTCGTCCCTGTTTGGACATTTCAATTTTCAAATTTCCGCCTTCAATAATTTGGATTATAATATTCAGGCAGCCATTCATTGATTCACTATTCGACTAGTCAGTGTTACAATACAATAATAATGATAATCAATAATAATTGAGTGGATTCGAGTGGGAGAGTTTTTCACTGTAGTAATTCTTTTTTTCAGTTTGCCCAAAATTGTGGTAAAATCATCTTAAATCTTTCATGATTATTCATATCATGTCCTATTTTTGCCTGGATAAAGTATCTCTAAGTAGTTAAACTTCATGCAAAAAAAAAAAAAAACGACACATCATTTAATCCTAATACACAAGATCAATTGTAAAAGTACTATATTTGAATCATTGAATGGATGGATGATGATATCAGTTATTAATTTTTATGAAGTCAACTACAAATCTTTAATTTTGGTCTTTTATACATTTTTATGTTTTTTTCTATATATATATATATATATAATAGTACTAATGAACTACTACTATGCTTTGTCCAACAACAACCAAAAAAAAAAAAAAAACTACTAATATGCAGATGGAGCATCTTGGCTTGACTTTGTAAGTCATGGGTTCGATCCAGCGTGCATGCCTGGCAGTTCACAAATGCTAATAGTAATGATACATTGAGGTAACAAAAAGTCAAATGATTTAAGCAGTGCCCTAGATTGCAATTTTTAAAAATTGCTTTTGAAATTTCATAATTAAAGGAATTAAATGTTATTAAATAATCCAAAATTTTATTTGTGATAAATGAGTTTAATATTTAATAATCTTCTCATTAAATGAAATATTTGTTTAAAAGAAAAATCACATCCAAATACCTTTTAAAAAAATTATTTACAGCGAAAGATTAATATGAAATTGTTTATTATTAAAACAATGACAAAAAAAAATTAAGAATAATTGTTATTATTACTTTAGTATTTATCCAGCAAATAATTCTCTTGTCAAGTTATTGAGCGTGATTCTCTCTTGTTTAAGTGAAAGGGATTTATTGAAATAGTTAATCTTATTTTTTGTATTGAGGATTATATATGCACTTTTTTCATTGACATGCTTGCTGATTTCGCCGCAGCTCCTGTCCACAAAGTTCTGATGGTGAGGCAAGCTGCAAACTGACTTAGAAAATTTTAATTATTTTTATATTTGTATAGAGAGTGAGTGTGTGTCATAGCTCCAGAAAATAATCCAATTATAAGTGCTTGAAATTAAACTAACGTATACTAATACATGCCTGCCACTATAACCCTCACACGTAAATGCTTGAGAATAATGAGCTTACCAGCATGTGTCAAAACTTCTTGTAAGTGTGTTTACAAATAACAAGAGTGGAAAATTCCATTTTCAGAAGACCGAAATAATTATATTATTTCCTTTAAAACCAGTTCATTTAAAAAGGGCTTTACCAAAATCAAGTACCACATGCATCATCATGGAAAACCCACGTAGGTATATAATAAGTAACATCGTTCAATCTTGACTCAACACGCTAGTCCATCATGAATTCTTATTACATGTTAAACATGTTCTTTCAATCCCACGTGTATTAATTATCACGTTGGACTAACATATTACATAAATTTCATCAACAAAATTTCAGACTATCTCTCGTTCATGACTTGATTTATACATTTGTTATAAAAATATATGAATATGCAAAACAAAATCTCAAATAATTCAAACCTTTTTTCAAAACACTTGGCAATTGCGGAAAACCTTGACCTTTTAAAACAGTGAAAATCATTATATAAAAATAAAAATAAAATATAAATAAGGCATCAAAACATAGTTTATAAATAATCGTGAGCCAACATTTACTCACTACATAGTTTATTTAAAAAAATACCAAAATTAAAATAAATGAAAATTATATTATGGAAAAATATTCATTTAAATTTAAATATATTTAATCTATTACAATTTTGAAAACAGAATGCAAAGAGCTAGGGAGATTTGAATAAAAAAATAAAAGGAAATTTCAATTGGGACCAATAAAAAGAAATAAAAATTAACTATTGATAGCGCATGGTTCACTACACTGTAGAAAAACAGAAAAAATAGTGCAATGGCATTGTGTGTTTATACACATGAGAATACATTCCATGAGAATACATTCCATGATAAACAATATTTAACCCTTACCTACTCAATTATATTTAACTCTCACCGAGTAACTCTAACAAAGCTTGAAAGGCACACCTATTGTTTTCATAATAGTAATATGAGGAATGAATATCTGATAAACAAGAGACTTGTAAAGATGGCAATCATCATAGCAAGCCAGCCACCAACTTCCTTTTATCAAAGACTTGGAATGCAACATAACAATAGACATCCTACCCTTTACACCTTTCTTCAGACAACAAACAATCATGAATCATTTCAAACCAAACAAAAGCAGAAGTTTCACCAACCACTCGAAATTCCCAATTCTTCAATCATCCGAAGCTCAAGGAGCAGACAAGAAAATTAAGAAGCTGACTGAGTGCGTCTAGATATGAGGGGTGTTCCTCAGTTTTGAATGCGAAGATGGCAGAGACAGTACTAATGGAGGAAGGAGTTATCAGGTTGCTTGAGAATTGAGAAAAGGGAGAACAGCATCGCACAATCACAGTGAACGAATGAAGGAGATGGCAGAAGATGCAGCGGACGGACACGGCGACGATGCGAGATAAGAAGAAGAAGGACAGGTTTGGTTTTGATAGACCCACACAGAAGTATGGGTTCGAACGGATTTGGGACTGCCTCTTCACTAAACTTCTATTGCCTTTCCCCTCAAAATCCTTCAGCGTTATTGAGGGGCTGGTCAAACGGGTCGAGGGTTAGAATCAGCTTACCGGCCATCTTTGATAATGACAGTCTCACGTGGTGAAATTTAGATTAGTCGGATAATGAAACTCTCAAATTTCCAACACAGTGGAATCAAAAAAATCTTTCTACGTCATCCCAACGAGCTTATGATTGGACTTTTTTTTTTTCTGAAAACAATTAAAAAAAAAAACTAGTTTGCGTGGGATGGAGGGTAACGTGGGAGTTTCTGGGAACGAGCACGGAAAAAGCCTGCTCTTCTAGCTTCGGGGAGAGAAAAAAATATGATTTTATTTATAGAATATTTATCAATTCTCTATATTTCTCTTTATATTTTTATCCTATTAAATGCTTTAAGTAAAAATATTAATAAGAAGATTTAAAAACATTTATTAAGAATAAATATAAAAATTTGTTAAATTTTAAAATAAAATTTATAAAATTTAAAGTTTTTTTTAATTTTAATAATATAGTTAGAAGTGACTTACCAAGGAAACATGGATTGAATTTTAAAAAATAGTATACACTCCTGCCGTCCGCGCACACACTCCATGGCTCATCTATATTATCTAAGTAATAAATGAGGTTGGACATATTTTGCTAAAAAAATTAGGTCAGACATATATTAATAAATATAGATATCATTTATCAATATATGTAATATATTAATAACTAGTTTCATATCTCTAAAAAAGTTTATCATTCATGTTTTACCTTGAATAAATACATGTCATATAGAATAGTCTGGAACAATCTATCCAGTAAAATGAATAGTTTTGAGTTGTAAACATTACAGAACTAAATATTCATTGAAATTTATAATTTGTAATATCACTTTAAAAATTAATCAAAATAAAATATGTATATATTTAATAGAATAAAATTAAAAATTTATTAAAATTTTAGAGAGACAATAAATTTTAAAATTTTAAAACGTGTTAGACTAGACTTATGAAAATAAATGGAGTGAATAAGCATTCCATTAAATTTTCTACTCTTCAGTTCCTTTCATTATTTTTTCTTTATTTTTCACTCCCTTTTATATATATCATCATCCTATCAAAAATAAAAAATATTTTTTTTTAGTACACACGGCAAGCATGAAGCTTGAAAGGACACTAAGACTACTAAGAACTCTACAAAAAAGCTACCTAAACATTACATAAAAAGAAAATAAAGCATCCACAAAGATTGCGCTACAACAGTCCATTACAAGTAGAAGGCATTTCATATGAAGAATGACAATAGCTTTGGCCACACCATGGGCACTGCTTGCAAGCATATCCGCCACTAAAAGCTTTCTCTGCAAGAATGTGAAATCTAAATATCCTAGTCTGAAAAAACTCTTGTTTGATTCAACACATTCCTAACAGTATTACTGGACCTTGTCTCCCTCATCAACGTGTCGATAGCTTCTAGAGAATGAGAATCAAAGAAAAGCTAGAATTTTGAGAATCCTAGCATTTTACAAATCTCTAGACCTATTCTGATTGCAAAAATTTCAACAATAACAATATCCATGGGCCCAAAATCTCTTTGAAAACCTTTGATCCATGTCTCATTAGAATTACTGATCACTCCACCACATGCAGCTTTGTGACTATTGATAAGAGGTGCATTGACATCGACTCTAATATGATCTTTAAGGCGGAGGACTCCGAACAACATGTGACCTCACCAAAGGATGAAAGATCCTATGCTTGAACTTGGCATTTACTGATTCCTCCAAAAGCTGAGCAAATACAGCATGTATGGTTTTTCTAATTGAAACAACTCTTTCGCCAAAGATCTTTTTGCACCTGGTAGTCCACAAAAACTGGCAATCAACACTAAAAACTTGAGCCCAAAGCTATTGTTGAAAATAGCCATTTTCAGGGTTGTGATCGAAGTTGCATCTGAGCCATACCTATAAATCACTAGAAAAGAAGTTGTGAAGTAAAGTGGCATTTAAAAAATTGCACTAGATAGATTTTGCTCTCTCACAATCACAAAGTGTGTTATGATGCTCTTCTCGCTATTACACTAAAAAAGATACAAGTTATCTCTAATAATCCCTCT